CAAAAAACCCCCTCCCCCCCAAAAAAACCAACAAAAAAAAAAAAAAAAAAAAAAAAAATCACACATCAACAAACATTTACATGCGTGTGTGAAAAATATCAAAGCTGACAATCTGACCAGGCTGCGGCAGGCTAGAGTCAGGAGTGACACCAGGATAAAGAGTTCCTATCTAAACCATACACAGGAACACTGGAAGGAAGGAGAGACAGGACATGGCACAGTGTCAGGCTAACACAAAGAACAAAGCCTTTACAGAAAGGCAGGGCAGCACATCACCGAGAAGAACCTAAAACCCACTTCCATCCCACAAGTCAATACGTGCTTGTTGAATTCAGGAAGTGGGTTTTGCTGTTTCAAGTACACTTAATACCTGTTTGTTGCTGCCCTACAGAACATCGCTGTATTCCCTCAGCCAAACAGTCAATTGTTTGTGTTGGAGCAGAGATGTTAACAGCCAGCTTGTGCCTATCAGTCAGAACCTACTATGGTCAGCTGAAAGACACAGGGAAGCACCAAGCACTCTTCCAGTGACGAGCTGCATGGCAAGACGCAGAGCTAGCAGGTGTTTTAAGAGACTGCGGCAGGCTCAACAAGTTGAGCTTTTCCTTACCACAATATGCAGTGGCAGAGGCTGCCACCACTTGAAAAGAACAAAAGGGAAATCAGCCAACTTCCTCAGTATTTTGGTACTAACAACACAACACTTGACACAGAAGAGCTCCTGAGGAGAATCGGAGCCAGGAAAGAGTCAGTGTGGTGCCAGGAGAGGAGCACAACAGGACAAAAATCAGCGGCAGCATGAAGACCTTGCTTTGGGGTTGCTGCCTAGCTGTGTTCTTAGGTCACTTTTGTTCCTGTGCTTTTAAACACTGTCCTTTCCCCTAAGCTCAGGGGACCAGCTAACTAATGCCCACCTCCACAGGTGAACCATCCTTACCTATGGAACGGTGTGCACCCGGGGACAGGCAGCCACGGGGCCGGAGTGCCACCTTCCGGCAAGTCACAGGCAGTGCTGCCTCACCTCCCTGGGGCTGGGCAAGGACAGCACACCAGGAACACACATCCTCCTGGTGCTCCAGAGGCCCCACGCCGTCCCCGTTGCTGCTTCTACTTCCCATGGCCTCACCTACTTCACGGGCCACGTAGGAGAGGCAAGAGAATTGACATAGCACAAGCCCACATGGGGATGAAGAGCACGGCTTTTGGCAGGTTGACTCTGGAACAAGCAGAGGGGACAAGGACTATAGCTGCTCCTAAGACCAGACAATTCCCCAGATCTTCTCAGCAATGTGCCCCGGGTCAAGATCTGAGCACTGTCCAAAAACAAGCACAACAGTCGTCTCTTGATCAAAGCAAAACCACCCCAGAGGTCCAGCAGGGCATTCATGAAGGAGAAAGCCTGATTCGTTTTTAAATGCTTGATCCACTTCCTGGCACCAGCCATCTACACCGTGGCCACACTCAGCGAGATAGATGGTACCCAAGTGTTTACCAGGCCTCGATGGCCTTGTCTGATGTGACGTTATGCAGTATTCCTAAGGCCAAAAATGTAAGTACATACAAAGGCGTCCGGTAACAGTGAGTTTCAGAGCTGAACTGGACATGCTACAAAACATTTCCTTCCAGTTTAAGCCAGACACACCTCCTACAATCCTACTTGATTTTAAAAATCTCCATTTATAACCCAATGCCTCACTCTCAAGAGAGTCCCAGTGAACTCAAGCTTTCCTCTTGCAGAAGCCAGCCCTGCTCAAACTTTCCACATCTTTCTACCATTTTCTATTTCAATTTAGCCTGTACAGTTCCAGCACATAGATGCATTCGGTTGAGTACAATTTCTTCTGACCACCTGGTGCCTCACTTGCCTGAAGCTGTCTACCAGAAGCGGTCTTCACCATTTCCTGCTCAAGTTTCATTAACTACCCTAAAAGAAAGAAGTAGTAAATAGCCATGTTCAAAAGGCAAAGAGAAATCACCTCATCACACCTATCTGCGTGCCAGCCAGAGTGGAAGATAAGTGGCACAGGCTTGTCCCAGTGTCATCCAGGAAGGCACAGTACCTCTGTGTGCACAGGCATAACACCCCCAGAATTGCCAACATCCTTTGGCCGAACATCTTTGTGATGCTGCCCACACACAAGCCTGGGTTAAATGAAGGCTACTGGCAGAAGCATGCGCTGCCAGCCTCTGAACAGACCTGTCCTCCACTCTATTTGGGATGTGGACAGCTTCACACTGTCAGCAGGACAATAATCCTGAAACTTCTGCCCTCTCCCCCAAACCAAGTCCTACTACAACCCACAGGACAGTTTCAGGGAACAAAACACTGCCTGAAATGCAGCCCAAGATGTCACATCTAGTCTACCCTCTTTTCTACTAGCCCAGTCACTAAATATATTAGTATTATCAATATAAGATATTAAGACCTATTGTGCAAAGCCAGCACCACCTCTAAACTCCTTGTGTTTCACTGTCTCCTCATTCTTCTGTTTTAACTTGTCTGCAGTGTCATCAGAAATGATTAGAGCTTCTAATACGCTGATAGCGACTCCCACCTTGGACCAGCTGAAGCTGGTAACACCTTCTCTATCTCATCGATACTCCATTGGTGTGATGAGAGCAGACCCAGTGGCCTTAAAGCAAATCTTGCGCGTAAAAAGGAGAAGAAGAGATAAGAGTGAAAACAACTCAAGGAAGAAACATCCTGTACTGAATGGGACCAAGATATTCAAGAGAAGATTATGCAGCAGGCAAGAGATACAGACATCTGCACAAAATTGTGTTTTGCTATAGAGAAATCAAAATCAGAGATAACAGAAGCAGAACAAGATCAAAGTGTAAATCAAGTTGAAGCCAAAACACCAGTTTTGAAGTTCTAAGTCATTCACACAGCTGTAAGAACTGGCCTATCATGTTACATGAGATGTTTAAGGTCTTCTGCACAACTTGAGCTGGATGTAGACACTGGATAAAGGTCAACAGGACTGGTGTAACAGGAAACTGGATTTCCACAGCTATTTGCAGCCTTCCTACCCAGTTATGCAGTGTGTAATCAGGGCAGGCACTGTCTTAGAGACCTTTCAGTTCGTCTTTTCCACACACTGGTTTTCAAAGCGGGCCAGTTAGGGAACAGCAAGTTTTAAAGTCTGCAAAATACTCACGTGTCCTGCCCAGACTATTGCCTTTTAACAGATATAAGCTAAAAGGAGAGACCATTAGTGACGACTACTACAGTACTTCTGCGGAGACTACACATTTCCATAACCTACAGGGCAGCGAAGAAAGGCACCAGTGGAGGACAAACTGGCAGACCCAAACAGTACTGATGTCTTTATAGCAATTTCAGGATGGGCAAAGAGGTGTTTTGAAAGTTAACTTAAGTTTGAGAGACTAGAAGATGATGAGCTAGAAACTGCTTCATCCATTGCAAACACTGCTGCAAAATGGGGGCTTAGTAACATCTTGCTGATGACTTGCCATGGCTTGCTCCATATTTGGAGCCAAATACAAAAAACTTTGAGTTTTAGTGACAGGCATAGAAGAAAAAAAACCTATTTCTTTGAAAATAGGAAACGCTTAAAAGACAGTCAGCTTTAGCACAGCGACCCAGAAAATAACAGGTATGAGCTACTGGGTTAGAAAAATGAGATAGTGGTGCTGTCCAGACAGAGAAAGGACAGAACAGGAAGGAACACGGCAGAGAGACAGGTCTTTAATCAGTATTTGCACGCACAGGAGATGCCACAGACAGGCCAAAATTCAAAATCTTTGAATCAACCACAAAGGCCTTTCTACATCAGCCTGCACCATTCAAAAATCTCTAGGTGGTAAGCAAGACAACACACACCAACCTGCCAAAAATACAAGATTAGACGCCACTCGCTAGAGTGCCTGTGATGAGCCCAAACTCACTGTATCAAATAAAGCAATGCTGATGTATCAACTATCCTATTCAGGAACAGAGTACAATCTTCTTCACAGAGATGCACATTAAAGTCATGTTCTACTGACCCAGAAATTCACTTTTGTCCATGACAGATCTCCTTACTGGCTAGAGAAGGCCACTGGCTATGTAGTTCAAGCCAAACTAGAGCTTACAGGAACACAGACTAAGGAAAGGGAAAAAAGGGAACTTTAATTCCACGTTTCAGATGCAAATCAGTACAACCGGTGTCTCACCGAGGCTAGCAACTTCATTTTATTCCTGATTAAAACAAAAGCAGCACGCAGGGAAGCAGAGGTTTGTGCAAAACTGCTAGAAGGTACCGGCAAGAACACTGTGCTATTTCAAGCTTTTCACATCAGCTGAACCTGCTGTGGAATCGCACACACCCTGTGTCTTTTCATCCACTGACAAAGACACACTGATGCAGCCCTTTCTTCCCCTGCTGCAAATTCTAGGCCCTCCCTTCCCCTAGTGCTGGCATTCGTTGGATCCCACTGAGCTGGCTGAGAAAAACAAATCAAAGATTAACCCCAAAAGGGAAAAGTTGTTCCATTTTTGGCCAGCTCAACTCCCTGAACCAGTCTGTGACAGGATCAGAGGAAGGCCTACAGCCCCCGGGGTGGGATGGCAGGTTTACAGCAGCCCTGACAAAAGCGATCAGATCTCAGTGGGTCAGAACTAGCAGGCAACTGCTGTCATGCACATGCATGCTTTGCATATGTTTTGCAGCAGGATCACATTTTTAAGAATCCAGGAACCTTTAGCACACAGACAAAGGTAAATGACAGCTCTAATAGAGGCTGAACGATTCTGCAATGGAGGGCAGCTAAGGGGCTGTGCCAATGAAGTACACCCTGGGAGCAGGAGCCTTGAAATATGTAGTGATACCGTGCTGCTGGCTTGAGACCTCCAGATACAACCAAAACAGTTTAATTCAAGAAGTTGCAGAAAACACAGCAGCTACAGGGCAGAAGGTGGAAAGCTGGTCTGAGAGCCCTCAAGTCTGGAAGAACAGCAACGTTTCAAGTGCTGTTCAGGAGCAGCTGGTACTCACGTGATGAAGTCCAGAAAACTTGCTAGGGGCTCATACGCGTGGTTCCTCATATGGCGAAACTCCACCACCATCTTCTCCTTCAGCTTGTCATCTATGACAGAGACGGTGAGCGGGGAGGCTTCATTGGCCAGGAAGTTCCCATAGTCTGTGCTCTGAAGGTGCAGTTTCAAGTCTGAAAAAGAAAGAACAATTCCACTCTACAGGGCTTGCGTTGGGTCTGAGGTTTTTTTTGGAGCATACCCAAGCAAGCTGTTGCTCAGCATTTTTCCAGGCAGGCTCTTCTCGGAAAGACCACCTAGACAAAATCCATGTGTTAAGTCCTACACTTACATTTGTGCTCAGTTTTATCATGGACAATCCAAATGCAGGAAAAGATCAGTGTTTCACCATAACATCCTTGCCCCATCTTGAAAGAGGAAACTGTGACACTATCTGTGTAAGGAAGCACACACCCATGCCAACTGTTCACTGTGCTTGATCAAGGTGGAAGGTTACCAGTTTTCTAGGAAATTTGCTAGAAATCTAGGGAAAGGAAAACAAACAAACAAACAAACAAACACTTCCTCTAGCCAAAAGGGCTCTGGTTGCAGGCTTCTCTGAAGCAATCATGACCAAGAACCTATCTGCACCTACAAGCAAGTTTCCTCAGATACTAGTGATGTGGAGGCATCTGAAAAGCTTTCAAAGCCAAAAGGACACAAACAGCACCCTGGAAATGATAAAGCATCTAGGTACTACATCATCAAGTCAGTCCAGCTAATTGCACTAGTAAAGAGAAGTCAGGCATCAAAGGGTAAAGAGGGGCTGGTGAAGAGGAAGGCCATTTAAACCCACCTCATATGGTAGGCAAGCCCTACCCAGGACAGAGGAACATGCTCAGAAGCCTTCCCCTCCTCCAGTTTCAAGTGAAGGAAACTTTTGTTTCCTCTGTTACCCTCGCTGCAGGTCAGGTGCCCAACCAAGCTGCAGTCCTGGCCAACAAGCGACCACAACATGCTAAGCTGTGTCAAGATAAAAGCTCTACTTAAGCCAAAAGCATTTAAGTGTCTCTTAACTTAATCCATAATCCAGAACTGAGGAACATCATATAATCCTACTCCTCAAAATGCTACTCGTTGCACTGGTACACAATGTTCACCTCTTCAGCTTCTTCTCAGAGGGACAGTTAGGCAAGCACCCTCCCAGGGACTCAAGACCTTTATGGAGAAAGGAAAGCAGTTGAAAGAGTTAGTCAAACCAAATGTGAATATGCTGTCTAGAGAAAACAAAACAAAAAAAAACCCCACACCACCACATTTCTCCTTGGTTTCTCTGAAGCAGGAACACTGAGGCTGCCATTCCCTTCCACCAAACCGTTCAAGTCCTCAGCACGATGGCACAAGCATCCACAGCACTGAGGTCAGAGCAAGGTCTCAACCTGGCTTGAGGAGGTTGATCTTTTGACATCACACCCAGCTACAGGCACGAGCTGGAAAGTGTCCTCTGCACCGGGCTCCAAACTGACCTCGCACTGGACAGTGCGATACTGTCCTCAGCCCAAGGGGTGGAAGGGTCAAACGGCTTTCAAGTTGAATTTCACTCTTCTGGGTATTTCCAAGGGGGTCTAGCAAAGACGGTTTTGACCCAGCACTTTTTAGTCACAAAGACATTGCCACTGCTAAGTCTTGCAGGAAACAGGTGGTACTTATAGAGAGGGAAAAAAAGGCCAGAGACTTAAATAGTGCTTAGTTTCTGTCATGTTTCTTAGTGGTTTACAGAAGAGTTTGATGCTTCTCTCGCTTTTAGTAAGGGATCCTGGGTGCAGCGGAGAGAGCTACTTGCCCAACAACCTACATCATGTTATGAAGCAAAGCAGAAACTTAACCTAGATCTCTGTTCCCCAGACTATGCTGCAGCTAAACAGCTGTGTGTTATTCTACGAAACCATTATCAACTTCTGCTCCCACTTTCAAGGTGGGAAAACACAGTCCAGATAACGCAAGACAGTGGAGTTTTCAATATGACCCTTGTCAAAGTCAAAGGCTGTGGATCATGCCAAAACTCAGAATGCCCCTCACCCCCAGGCAGCCTGCATAGGATTGTCACCAATGTTAATCACTTCCCAAACCCTGTAAAAAAAGCCCAGCCCACAGGCAGCACCCTGCATGCAGAGTTCTCACCCCTCTGTTTTGCAATTGCTTGATTTTTGAAAGCTAAGATATAGTTACAGAGGGGAAATCACCAGAATTACATCTTAATGAGTGCCAGTCCCTCTTTCGAAAGCTCTTGGATGATGAGCTTTGGAGTCCGAGTGGAAATTAAGTTCCACTGTCAGATCAGGGTTGTACTAGTTTGCTTTTAGCGGAGGCTGGAGAAACCGTGGAGCAAAATTCAGCAGTTGCTGAATGAATATGCAATAAAGTATCCTGGTAAGAGTACGGCACCCATAAAATCAGACTGCAAGGGAATAGGGGACCACAGTAGCTACATTCATGTACCTCCTACTTTCAGTTCTCTGTAACTGTGCAGACCTCTAACGAAAACTAAGCCTGACCAAAAAGGCATGTGATGTTGTTTTGCAGCTATACAGGACCTTGCAGAGGAAGCAGCTATAGCATATCCTACTACGTCTCACTTCAGTAGGGAAGCTTCCAGAGGTTTTCAGCTTGTTCCCTCAACTCCAACTCTGCTACAGCAAAACCATCGGTGTCATCATGACCTGAGACTCTGCTCTTACTTCTAGGGCTGCAAGAAGCTGCCTTGCTATCAGGTCACTTGATGCTAGAAACCCAGCAACACAAAAAATAGTTTTCTGTACCACCTGCTTCCAGGAAGTCAGAACTGCACCGCATTTACACCAGTCACATAAGCTGCACACTGTGCCTTGCAGCTCCCCCCTCAACAGCTCTGAGCAAGCTCCCATGAGCTGCCTGGCCAGAGCATTTCATCCTGCTCGATGAGGAGGCTGCCCCCC